TTCTATGTGCCGGGAGAGGCCGTAATCCGCCAGTACGGACACTAGCCCGCCGATTTGCATCATTTTCGAAAAGTGGGCGGGGCTTCCCCAAAGTGGGCGGAGCTTCCATTGGTGGGCGGAGCCAATCGCTAAAGCCTAAAAAAGCGAAAATCCGGAAGAAAAACCAAAATTCCGCGATAAACACAAGTGGGCGGGGTCAGAGGGGCGGGGCCTGGTGTGCTGTGCATGGTTATTCGTTTTGTGAAGATTGGATGTGAAAAGAACTACGTCGAAAAAAGTTATAAAAATTCAGAACTTACGTAACTTCATTGTTAAGTGGGCGGAGTCAGATCTGTATAGGTATCAATCTTTTTCAGTGTGTGTGCAAAGGGCAAAAACGAAAAAAAGTCGAGGGAGCAGATTTCATGAAGCATCTCGGAAAACCCTGTCCGCGCTGAGAAATGGGCGGGGATAATGGGGCGGGGCTTGCAACAGTAGTGTGGTCTAGTTATCAACCACCTAATTGTAAGGGGTGTGTCCGATTTGATTTGAAAAGTGTCCGATTTGGTTTGAAAAGTGTCCGATTTGGTTTGAAAAGTGTCCGATTTGGTTTGAAAAGTGTCCGATTTGGTTTGAAAAGTGTCCGATTTAAAGTGAAAATGGTATATATGCGGTGGGCGCTTCGCGCAAGATTGCAAAAAACCGGCTTGCGGTAGAAAAAAATGACCAGTAGCCTCCTTCCACCTTCAGGAAGGCATTACCCTCTTCTCATTAAGGTGGAAAAAAGGTCACTGGTCTCTTTGGTAGATATATTGTTGAAATTTGGCGTTTAAAAAAATTTTTGTTGTGTCGACGAACATTCTTCCCAGCCTAATAATAACATTACCTAGCTGAATAGAAGGTCACCTCATAATGAACATGAGAAATGGCCTTCGTCCTGTTTCATGATCTGTTTCCTGCTATATACAACAATAAACTCATTTTTTTGAGAAAGAACCATTTTTTGTCAGTTTTCGTATAATTAAAGCTGGGTCGATTTGACGAAAATGAGCAATCCTTACACCCCTTCTCCCTGCGTTTCAATCACTTCCCTGAAGCAGCAGAAGCTGCTGGAGATCTTTGTGGAATGGATCAGAAAAGAAGGGAAGGCTGTAAGTTACCCCACTGTATCGGTACACCTTCACTTGAGCGAAAGGTCTAGAAGCTTGGCGCAACATTTCCGCGATCTTTGAATGACACCAATAAAGTCAACGTTCCGCGACTATCGCCACTTTTCTTGCTGTATTGGTTAATTCATGGTGATAGGCAACGATAAATTAAGCGAATTTAAGAAACGAGAACCAGTGGGATTATTCTTAGTATTGGCTGATTCGATCACTCATTAAACTCGATTACGCATCTGCTGCTTATCTGCAACGTTATATATTTTGAAAGTAATCTTTTACTTTGACTGGTACTTTAATATGAAGAGTAATAGTAAAGGGTGTTGTCTAGTGGATTCAGTCTTAGAGGCAAATTGATTGTTCATTTCCTACAGTGCCCTTAGACGGAAAATAATGAGAAGGCTATGACAAGTGCAAGACCAGAAATGGTATCTTTTCACTGATTGACTTAATTCAGCCTTCCTGAGTAGCACCGCTCCTTGCCCATACGTTTTACTCGAGTATTTTCTGAGGCTTTCGTACACTCTAGTCGCTGCCGAACGATTGCGGCGCGTGCCAGCCACTAAGAGTTGCCACCCCGCTAGGGCCGCTTCTCTGCCTTCTTGGTTCAAAGCGCGCATGCGCAAAAAGTGGTTAGGAAAATAGTAATACGAGCGTTATTCATAGATTTATTGTTCCACTTGTCCGCCTTCAATAACTGTATATAAGTGAGTTAGCACCGCGCCAAACGCAGCCGCACTGGACACGCCCAATCGTCCGCAACGCAACTACACCTATTACCTCCAATTTGAGGCGATAACGCTCGTTCACTGATGCTTCAATAAGTCCTAGCCCTGGCATTGGGTGGTTGCATGGCTTCATGGCAGTGATTTGTGTGAGCTTTGTGACACTCTCTGTGTCACTGATATCTCATGATGATTTGCTAGTCGCGAAAATGTTGTCTTCAATTATTTGTTTGGACGGCGCTGCCGTGCAACCGTTTACAAGTTACTTCTCGGCTTTTAAGCTCTGAGGGAGGCGAAGATTGCCGAAAAGTATGTCGGAGAGCCAGACTTGATCAGTCTGGTGCGCTGCGGATGCAGGGGGGCGTATCCGCGCGGTTGTGTTCGCCCAGCCAAGATCTGTTCTCAAAAAATAGTTGCACATCACGGTAAGCGACGTCACGGTAAAGCAAAACGATGATACGAACGGAGTCCTATCGAAAGGAAGAAGTGAGAAAATAACCTGTTGGCGCCGCGTTATACACAGCCGCGCGGACGCGTCACATCAGCAGTGTGAAACCAGGTGAACAGGCTATGGGACAACCTTAGACAAGCCTGCTGTTAAAACTATGGACACGTTTGAAATCGTATTGAAGTTGTATCGTGTAATTGCCTGATAATGTTATAGGAAGATAGGGAGGTTCATTTTTACATGAGATATATTATCGTGCAGTAGAACTTATCTTTCTCAATAATCCGTATAGCGTTGCACTTAGTTTTTCGATAAGGCTCATAAGGTTTGATTTCTGTCCACAGATTTTCTACTTTTACATGACCGAGGCCGACTTGTTTTCTTCATTTCCGTTTTATTTTTTATACATCTGTTTAAGAAAGCCAAAATCGCTTTTCAGATAAATAAACACAATCGGAAATGGCAGTATGGTCGTTTCAGCGTGGCTCATCGCTTCTCGAAGTAGCCCCTCCTAGTTTTTTGATTATTCGACATATAGTTTGCCAGAGTATGAAGAATCAGAGATTCTCATCCAAGCGCCGCTTACGTGCAATGGGCATATCACATAGAGGTGAGTTAACTGTACCTGTGTTCCACTGTTTCTCGATAAAGCCCCCCCCCCCTTAGCTTTGCTGGCGAGGTTTTATGGTGGTCAGTCAAAGTACCAGTCGCATAAAGGCTAGGATCCACTGAACAAGGCTGTGTTAAATGAAGAGCCACGGTCTCCCTTTCTATGGATCGAAGGCAGCGTTCATATTGGCAGTGACGCGCGTCGACGCACTGCAAGGTACGGCGACGAACTGTGCTGCCCTATAAAGCGCGTTGTCGGTTACAACCACACCAGCGCTTCAAAGCTCTAGACACGAACAGCAGCAGGTGGCTGGCGCCGATAGATTTCCGTCTGGAAACGCTCGATCGTTGGGTGCCAGCCGCTTGTGTATCGAGAGAGTATGGAAGAATAGGATGGTAGATCTTGCTCAGTCACCAGAGTGGTATTGGTCAGCACTGACGTCTGCGTTTGCGTCTATAGCTCGGAGCGCTGTTGCAATCGTGGCGCGTCGTCGCGCGTTACAGTGCGTTACAGCGCTTCGACGCGCGTCATCGCGAAGTATGAACACTGCCTAACATTGGACTGATTTCAAAAATATCCGTAGCTCAAACCACAAAATGCACAACTGTGTGATGCACGCAGGTAGCAAAACGTGATAGTGGCGGGGAAGAGTGCGTTTGATGGTAGCTGACGGAAGGGATAGCATTTGATACGTTTTAATGAAAGGCACACAAAGGGAAGTAGTACACAAGGGCTGTAATCAAGACCGAGACATTGATGGTGACTGGTAGACATGAAATTTTAAGTAGTTTTTTTTTCAGAGAAGTGCATAGAATTTATCAACAATTCATGGTTTGTTCAGAGTATTCCTCGCAGAAAAGTGAACTTCTTGTCTTTGCGATGAAGAAGAAGATTTTCTGTGAAGGATCTCTGTTGGACGCCGTTCAGCGCTCCAATCTCTACTCCGATTGTAAGCATTTCGTCGACATGTCTCTGAAGCATGATGCAGGTGAAA